GTAACATAAATAAGGATGCCAGAATTTAATTAATTGCAATCTGAAAAAATGCAGTTTGCCTGTTTACCCATCCCAGAAACCTGAGTGTTAGTTACAGATAGCTAAAAATGTCTTAGGCCTTTCAGGGTGAAGAGGTAGTGGAAAGGTTTGTTTCTCACACCACCTCCTAATCAGAAGATAGAATACTGGCTACTGCAGTTGGCACTGTGAGGGTGTCAGAGGAACAAGAACATGCTGTCTGACACTCGGGCACAGTCTGCCCTGCTTTAGTAACCAGATGTGCTGAGGATGGCAGGGGAGGGAGAGTGAAAGGGAGGTGACCTGTCATTAGGTGGTCTAAAGCACAACAGAGCGAAGGCACACAGTACCATACAAACACCAGCATGAGGATTTTCTTAACTGCACTATTCTTTGTACACATCTTTAAATAAATAAAAAAAAAGAACACAGAAAAATATCCCGGCCTGATTTCTAGCACCACAAATGCCAAACGCATGCAATTTTGAGCTGTGCAAGAACGACATAAAATGCATCACTTAAGTAAAGACAAATATTGGTCCACACTTCTAAACAAAGCAAGCTAAACAGCAACACCATCCCTTTCTTTAAGTACAGGAGAGTCTTATATGCAATTTAGAAGGTAAAAAATAAGCATAATAAGATGGCAGCACATTAGAGTGTCATGTTTTCACAGAATCTACTTTATTGCAGGTAAACTCTCTTGCTGTTAATTACTATAACTCCCTACGTAAATTGAGTAAGCCTCTTAATTTACTAAGTTAAAATTTCATCATTGAGGAATATAAATTTCTAGATGTGCATTCTAGACATACTATAAACTAAGTCAAAGCTATAGTAATGTAATTATGCAGCTTAGAGTTGTGGTTCCCACAAAGCTATCTTAATAAAGCCTTTTGGGATTCAGGAGGAAAAGGAGAAAATTCAGAAACTAAGAACAAGGCTGGAAGGAGACAACATGTTTCAACTGGCTCTAGTTACTCAATCACACTTAAGCTGTCTGAGACAGCAGGGTGAGTGCCATGCATTATAGAGGCACGAGGGAAATTGTTATCCCAATGCAATAAAGTATTTCCAAATTCCAAGCCCAGGAATCATTTTAAAACTGAAATTACAGGAATGGCTATCTAATGAACCAATTAACCTTGCAGCAATAATAAATAATTATTTTTTACAAAAAAGGCAGCATAAGGAAAGCTAATAGATGAAACAGGTATTCAAATCTGAGAGTAAAAATAGGCATATTAGAAATGCTGTAGAAAAATCCACTCAGTGTGTGCAGATAAGAACTACTGTGGAAAAATGATCTAGGGGGACTGTGGGTGTACAAGACCATAACACTAGGACCAGGTGCTAGTCACCACCTTCCATAAT